CTAAACAACAAGCTCCTCATTTACAAAATCATCATCAAACCTGTGTGGACATATGGCATTCAACTATGGGGCTCTGCTTCGAACACCAACATTGCCATCTTTGAGCGATTTCAGTCTAAAGCTCTGCGTCTGCTAACGGACGCCCCTTGGTATGTCCCCAATGCCATCATCAGACACGATCTACAAATACCTACAGTTCAAGAAGAAATCAGTCGACTAAGTTCGAAATACAGATCACGGCTCAACATGCACATTAACCAAGAAGTGTCTCAACTCTCTGCACCCCCGCCTCTCCGCAGACTGAGAAGACATCTTCCACATGATCTCCCAAACAGATTTCTTGTATAATGTAGTATTATTATTTAGATCTTAAGTCCCTAGTTTGTAAGTATTCTCCCACAAATCATACCAGACTTTATCTACTGCACAAGGAGCACCGCTAATGAGCGGTGTTCTACACGTTCTTTTTTTTCTTTCCTTTTCACATCATTATGCTAAATGTATTAACTCAGATTGCATAATAAATATGGGAGTCTCAAAAAAAAAAAAAAAAGTTCAAATCTCGCTCGTTCTGGTGGAATGTCATGAACTTAACGAAACTGATATGAATTTCTTCCAAAATAATGCGGGGAAAGAAGGCCGACTGCAAGCACCTACCTCGCGGATTCTTCTACCTTGAAGATGGAGGTGATACGTCCCTCCGAAACATCGGTTCACACAAGATCTTCAAGGAGTCACATTCCAGAAGACGACATTTTTCATAATCATAGCCGTGGAAACCTCAAATCTTATATACTGATATTGTTTTTTTTTTTGTTTTTAATTTTTATTTATGTAGATTATTGTTTTACTTAAAATATTCAATATATTTTTTCGCAAATTATTATTATTTTTGTCTTTGTTATTTCTGGAAGAACTTGTTACTTACAGCAGGTGGTACAAATTCTGAGTATATTGCAATCATCATACATAATCCCACAGTTTCATATCGGCGCAGTATCTGTAATCGCTTACGAGCAACATGTCATAGAGAACAGGTTGATGTTATTAATTATATTAAATTAAAAAGGACATCCATCAATAGATTCAAAATTTGAACGAGGGACAGAGAACACACACACACACAGATAAATACATCGGTAGCGTAGTTGGTTGAGGGGCTATGCTACAAGCCGGAAGGTCGCGGGTTCAAGTCCCGATGAGGTCATTGGATTGTTTTCAATTAACCTACTCCTTCCAGCCGCACTAGGCCCTGGAGTTTACTCATCCTCTAACAGAAATGAGTACCAGGAATTAATTAAATAATTTTCCTGGGGAGTGAAGCGCGGCCGGCGCCTATGGCTGACAGCCTCACCGCCATCTTTGAGCCGATTGCCTAGATAGCGTGGAACCCTCAACGTCTCACAACCCTATGGGCCTTCAAGGCCTGGTACAGGGATAGCTTTACTTTTTTTTCTCTCTCTTTTTTATTTTTGTTCACGGTAACCAGTAAACTATTTGTTGGAAGTTGCAAATAGTGCAACGTGTCAAGAGATTTTAAGATAGGCTTCTTTGACGATGCTGATAATAACAACAACAACAACAACAACAACAATAATGATGATACTGTCACGCACAGAAATTAAACAGATAAAAATTGTAGAATTCAGGGCGATATATCTCTTTTGTAGCAAGGAATTTGCTAGAGAATTTTGGCCTTGATTCATTGGGGAGAAGGAAGAAGAGTAGCTGTCCTTACCTCTTGCAGTTTTAGAAGGCGGTGTGATATTCTGCGCCTCGTAGAACGCAGGCAAGCCGTAGTCTGTGATCTTGAGAACCCAGCGTGCGTCAATGACGCAGTTACGGGAAGTGAGGTAACCATGAACGCGGATAGGACTTGAGTGCAAATATCTCATTCCCTGTGAACGGCAACAGAATTAAAGGGAATCGTGAGAAATCCTTCTTCTTACTTAGATTAGGTTCTTTGGCATGTACGGAGAAGGAACTGTTTTTCTAAGACAACTGTTGTTTGAGACAGGTTTTAGGGCTTCTTAGATAGGGGATCAGCCCACCGCAAGACTCCCACCTTAAGAACACGACAAAGAAATGACAGAAACACACTTCGAGTGTGATTGGAATTCGCGTTCCCGCTGTCAGGGTGGCATAAAGCAATGCACATTTTAAGGGACGTGTCCACTTGGATCTACCTTGTCAGTTTATAATTAGTACACATTCATCTGCAAACTCGGAACAAGGACAACAACAAGAGCGCAGGATCTTCGTGCGTGGGAGGAACTGCGTAGGAGTTATGCACTGAAGCAGCTGTTGCAGTTTCCTTCCAAATTAGGTAATTCTGGATAAGACAAAATATCACAAAGCAAATTAACCAATCAATGCACTTATATTTATAAATAAGAAATTCATGATACATATGTACAATAAAATTTTACTGGACAATATACGTTTCAGTTATTTATAATTTCTGTACCCTAGTTTTCTTTTCTTCTTTTTCTTTGTTCTTTCGCCCTCTTTTTTTTTCATCTTACCTTTTTAATTTTATTTCTCCGAATAGTCCATGAAATTTCGGAGCATATTTTGTCGACGTTCTGGTTTAATTATTTTCCAATTTTGAATGAAAATTCTCTTCTCTAACATATTCTGTAAGTACAGTGCGAAAGGGAAACATACGTAGAGAAAAACAAATATTTTTATCACGTCGTTTCCCTTTATATTCTTGATTTCGTTTCCGTTTCGGTGTTAGCCATTTTCCTTTTGTCACGGATAATATTACGTTGGTTTTCTTTCCATATATTCGGGATACAAAAATGTATTCGTTAATGTCAGATATCAATTTAACCCATCTCTCAATTCAGACATATATTACTACACTTTATATGAGCTCAAGACAAAATTCTTTTCTAGTCAGTAAGGCTACACTGACAAACGCGCTACGTTATCATTAAACCTGTAATTGAAAATATACGGGAGTCTAAAATGTACAATTCTCAACTGGATTAATTAAACATGATAAAAATGGAAGGAAATTCACAGCTCATTTTAACCGGTTTTTTCATGCTCCTCACTAAATAATGCTTAATAGAAATCAAAGAAAAACAACAAAAATTACACCCATAAAACTGATTTGTAATTGACGACAAAATTAACATGTTATCTACAGCTACTCACTTGTTTACTGCGGCTCAAAGAACATAGGATAACTAAAGATTACCGGTCGTGATAGAGAGATTTCCTGATTTTCTCAGGCTCTCCAGGCGAATGTTGGGATAGCAGCTTCATACGCTCCTCATCTTCCTCCTAAATTTCTTCTGTAATAAATCTAAGCCTCGTTTTGGTGCTAAGCATATATAAGCATTGCATTTCAAAGAGTGTCATTAAGCTCAAAATTTTATATTTCAAAACCTCGATTAATACTCATAGTATAAGATTTCTTTGTTTATACGGAGGGGTCCATAAGTAAGTTGACCTAAACTATTCTCTTGTATTGATGGAAATGTTCAGGTTTAAACCTGCCAGCCAACTTGCAGGACGACATCACTGCGTTATGAATTGTGCACTGAACACAGAAGATCTCATTTCGATTTTTTTTAATAAATTAATTAATTTTTTAATTCGCATAGTGGGGGGTGCAGTCCATTGGGTCCACTCGGCATGGCGGCCACTGAATGGCCTATTGTACCTGCCCCGGATGATTATGATGATGTAGAATTTTGTGGAATGAAGATTGGCAAGGGAAACCGAGGTACTCGAAGAAAACCCACTCCAGTGCCATTTTGTCCACCACAAAACCCACTTGACTAGACCCGGGTTTGAACCCGGGCGCCGCGGTGGGAAGCCAGCGACTAACCGCTTGAGCTATGGCGAGGCCTTATATATAAATAAATAAATTAATTAATACATTTTATTATCCACTTAACTGATTTTTGGGGCATTCTGTACGTCACTAATTCATCCTTTGAACATGATCCAGAGACAGTTAAGCCCTGGGATTATCCTCACAATGTGCATCCTTAAAATATACTTAATACATATACTTCTCTTCCTCTAATTCTCAAGCAATCGCTTTCCAAAACTTTTCCCCAATAAATTATTTGTGTATTTTCCCCATCTGAGATACAAGTCGGACTTGAAAGAACATCGTAATTTCATCACCCCAATAATAACATGTATTTATATATTGGATTATGTAGCATTAGTAAATGATTACAGATAATATTTTGTAAAATAGAATGAACAGCTTCTGTTCAAGATGATTTATGAAGCACAAATATTGTGTCACGTGTATGGGGATATGCGTGACGAACATAACGGGTTCTAGTTCGGACGTCTGGATTTACTAGTGCCTCGGTTACCCACTATCTTCCATTTACCACTAATACAGCGCTATCGCTGATTTACAGAATTCATAGTTCACCGTTGCACATGCACTAGGATTCTCCGTCTTCAGTAGTCGTCTCCTGGCAGTGGGTCTCAATACAGAATCTAGCTCCTCAAATCACTATGAAATCTTGTTATTTTGTCTTCAATTACTCTGTACTCCACTGTCCTAATCTGTACTCAATTAGTCTTCACAGTTCACTAAGGACACGCTCCATTCTCGTCCTTGTACTATCAACTGCCGAAACCTCACGGACACTCTTGAGCTGCAAGAGGACCCGTGTCATATAGCCGCGGCACGGACAACGCAAAAGCACAATTTTATTGTTGCCTAGAGCATAACACAAAGAAAACAAGTCACGTGATAGCTATCTCGCCAGTCCATTGGCGCGCTGACTACTGCCTAGCAACGAGCTATAAACACGCGTCCTATTGTTGTGTGCTTGTATCACGGGGTGTCTATCGAGCCGTTGCCAGCCAATGCGTTGACAAGTCACAATTGATTACACTAGCAAATTAAATGTAAAGCTTAAGGTGTTTAGCTCTTGATTTTTCACGTATTCTTGCATTTTCCCCTCAAGTGGCAATTTACCAATTTAACACTTAAATTAACTGTAACATTTATTCTGAAGGCGATAATTAAATGTATGGTGTAAAATGAATAACGCCTGAGACTGCAGTCTTCTGGGATGTGACTCCCTGTACTCTCGCAGATGTTTATCTACATTTCATGGGGAAAATCGGAAAACTTCTACCAGACTACACAGCGCCAAATAGCAGAAGACTGTAATCATAAAAAATTCCGAAGAACTGAGGAAAAACAGGAAGAATTACTTTAATACAACAACACCTGAGTGCCATGACAGCATTGAAGGCTTACACGTATTCTCCGGGGAGAAATTTTAAAGAAGTTCTCACGTATGTCGGACCCTTCTCCTTGCGTTTGTTACCAAGGCGTTGCTTTGTCAAACCGGGTTTTTGGTTCCTTAAGTACGGTACTCTGCTGTATATTAAAGTCTCGTGTACTGAGACGATAGACTTGCAACAAATCCTCTTACAACCATTACTGATTCAAGAGCCCTCCAGATTCTGTCATATACTTAAGGGAAACCTGTGGTGTTGGCAGTCTGTAATTATTCAACACACTAAGTACTCTGTCTCTACAGCACAAATATTATAGGGTAGTTTTGCCTTGTAATTCGTTAAATAAACATGCCAACTAACTAAATAATTGAAATGTTTTTTTCTTATTGCTAGCGGGGTGGGACTAAGTCCCTTGTACTGCGGCCACTTCTGTCCTATTGCACCAGCCCCAGATGATAGGTGAGGGTAATTGTGGAGCAATTAGTGGAATGAAGATTGGCAGGGGAAACCGAAGTACTCGGAGAAAACCTGCCCCAGCGTCACTTTGTCCACCACAAATCTCTCTTGACCAGACGCGGGATCGAACCCGGGCCGCTGCGATGGGAAGCAAGCGACTAACTGCTTGAGCTATGGCGCGGCCTAATCATTGAAGAAGTCCCTTCTATTGGCCGCGCCATAGCTCAAGCGGTTAGTCGCTGGATTCCCACCGCGGTGGCCCGGGTTCAAACCCGGCTCTGGTCAAGTAGGATTTGTGGAGGACAAAGTGGCCCTGGAGTAGGTTTTCTCCGCGTACTTCGGTTTCCCCTGCCAATATTCATTGCACCAAATTCTCCATCATCATAATCAGTCGGAGCAGGTACAATAGGCAATCAGTGGTCGCCGTGCCGAGTGGACCCAACTGGATTCCAGCCCCCCACTATGCGAATTAAAAAAAATAATAAAAAAGCCCCTTCTATTTGTTTTTGGCATATATAAAGACGCTGTCCATATCACAGGTTGGTACAGTCGAACATAAAATAAGATAACTGAATTGGCAAGGAAATGGAAGAAAGGGGCCTTGGAATATCCTGCCATTTTCGTAGTGGAACTGAAGGAAACTGGGAGCCGGGATAGCGGAGTTGATATAGCGACTGGCTACGGGGTGGACGACCGGTGGGTCGGAAGTCGTGTGCAATGAGTACTGGGGGTTCTTTGCCCATGATAAAGCGGCCTGGGCATGAAGCTGAACACTCGTATACAGCTAGTGTCGAGGTTAAGAAAATGCGGACCTTTACATCAACTACCCCATACGCCTTCTTGGCGTAGTTTTGAATTACTTAAGCACAGGAACAACTTTATATTTTAGATAAAAAACGATGAAAATTCTCAGTTAAGATAGTCGGTATTCTGGACGATATTCGAACTGGGTAGCTCTCGAACACAAGTCAGAACCTACAGCGCTTGAACCAACTTTCTCGCTCCGAGTCCTTCAGAAGCTAACAGTTGCTCGGCTTATTAAGATATTCCTCGCCTGTTACGAAACGCGAAATTTCATTATAGTCTTTGAAATAGTCCGTCTCTACATTCTGCCATGTGACACCTCAGTCGAATCCTGAACCTCTGACCCTATTTCCTTTCTTTTCAACTTAAATCGCTCCATTTAATCCGTTCAAGTCGGAGG